CCGCCGCCGCCGCCGCCACCGCCCAGGGCCGTGTCCGAGCTGCTCGGCATGGGGGGGGCGGCTGCGGGCCCGCGGCGGGACGGGCCGGGCACGGCTGGCGGGCGGGGCGGGCGGGCGGGCGCGGCCTCCTCCGACTCCGACTCCGACTCCGGCTCCGACTCCGGCGGGCCCGGCTCACACCCGGGCCGCGGCCATGCCCGCGCCCGGAAGCGACAACAACAGCGGCGGCCTCAGCTCGGGCTGCTTCTCGGGCCGCACAAGGCGGAAGTGGCGCGGCCGCGGCCCCGGCGCCTCACTCCATCCCGCCCCGACGTTGGGCTCCGGGCTGGCTGGCGGGCGGGCGTGTGTGTGTGCGTGTGTGCGTGTGCGTGTGTGTGTGTGTGTGTGTGTGCGCGTGTGTGCGTGTGTGTTTGAGTGTGTGTGCGCGGAGCCTCGGCCAGGCAGGCGGGCACTCTGTCCTCTTCAGGCGGCGGCGGCGGCCCCACGCACGCGCGCGCGCGCGCCCTCGCTCCTCCTCACTCTCTCACGATCTCGGACCCGGTCCCGGTGTCGGTGGCGGCGGGGGGGCGGTGTCGGCAGCCTCCGAGGCCTGGACCTGACAACAACTCCCGGCCTGCAGCCTCGCGCACGCAGCGGCCCCAGCGGGACTGGCGGGCGCGCGCACGGCGGCGGCGAAGGCGGTGGCGACGGGGCGCGCGGGTGCGTGAGGCCTACCGAGGAGAGCGTAGCTGACAGACCGCGGGACGGACGGGGGATGGGAGGAGGGGCGGGACTTGGGGGGGGAATAGAGGAGGGGGAAGGGCCGGGCCCGGGCCCGGCCCACGGAATAGGGCCCGGACGGTGTCTTCTGCCTCCTCCACCCACTTTTGGCCCCTCCCCTCTGACGGGCTCCCGGATTGGCTGCCCCGCCCCTTCCCCTTTTCCTTGTCTGGGGGAAGGTAAGCAGGAGGAGCGTGAAGAGGGGCGGGAGCTCGAGCCTCTTACGGCCCCTCCCCTCGCTCCCTCGCCTGCCCTCGGCGCGCGCGCGCTTGGGCTGGACGCTGCTCCGGGGGCGCGCACGCACACCTCACACACATAAGCGGAGATGAATGGCGGCGGAGGCTAGTAGAGTCGAATGCCCTCTGGGTCGCCTCGTCGCCGCCCTCGGCGTGCTCGCGCCTTGTGCGTACGCCGGAAGTCGTTGAGGCGACGTTGCCGTACTTCCGTGGAAGTGGGGGAGGAAGAAGCGTTACCGGAAAAGGAGGAAGGATGGGGCTCGACGACTCTGGCCGCGGCCTCCCCTCGGGCCCCGCCCCGCCGCCGGCGCCGGGGCCGGGGCCGGGGCCGGGGTGGAAGGCGCGGGGGTCGCGGCTCCCGAGACCCAGAGAAAGCCGCCCCGGGGGCCGGAAAAGCAGGAGGGGGCAGTGGCCTCGCAGGCCCGCCCCGGCCCTGCCCCCCCCCCCCGGGGATGGCGCCGCGTCCCTTCCGTGCGGCCTCGGGCAAGAACCCAACGAGACCCCGACCAGCGTCGGGAAGCCCGAGAGAGCGCGCCTGCCCCGGGGCCAGGACTGGGGCCGCGAGGCCCGAGCGAGGGGTCTGGATCCTCGTCCTGCCCCGCCGCTCCCAGCGGCCTCCTTTGTAGTCGCACATGGTAACGTTGTGCGTGGGGAAGGCGGCCGCCGAGGCCTCGGCTCCGGGCCCGCCCGCCCGCCCGCCCCGCCGGTGCCTCGCTGGTTCTCTCTCTGACTTCCCCCGGCGCTCAGGCCGCCTTGTCTAACGCGGGGGGTCGGAAGGATTCCCGCCGTGGGTTTTAAGCTCCTCCGGCCCAGGACTTTATAACCGTCTTCCCCCGCCCCACCCCCACCCCGTGGAGCGCGGGGAACGTGGTAGGTGCTTAGTAAGCGTGTGCGGAGGGTCTGCTTATTTGGGAGGTCTTGGGTCCTCTCCAGGCCAAAATCCGGCGTGCAGACTCGGCGGCACCTCCGATACGTGGAAGAACCCCCGAGTTGTCCGCAGGGGGAGGGTTTGCGTTGGGTTTTTGCTGGGCTCCCCCGGCTGAGCTGTGAGGGCCACGTGCAGTTCGACCCAACGGATGGATTCGTATTCTACTGTAAATTGATGAAGAACAATAAAATTGAGGACATTCCAAATGAAACAGAGGTCTGAAATTATTGTAAAATACGAACGTTAAAAAACTAATTCTGTGCTCCTTTTAACAGGCATAGTCAGGTTTATGCCGTAGTCCTGTTTTCTTGGTGGCACATTACTTCATTTATCTTTGGTCTCGTTTTAGGGTTAGGTAATGTTCTGTTTGATTAATTGTATTTTAAAATTTGGCAGAGCAGTCAGTTTTTTTCCGTAATTCTGCAAATTTTGCCTATTGATTTTTTCCTATTGTGTTCTTCTATATGTAATTCTATAAATGTAACTTGTGTCCCGAGGACCTGAGGTTCATAAAGAAACTAGGTTCAGCCTTGTGGCTTCTTACATAGTTTTTCTTTGACTTGCTTCCCTTCCCTCTCCGTCCCTCAGCCTAGGGTTTCCCCTTGGAACGTCAAAATTGGGCTCCTCAGAAAAAGTGATAAACCCTCAGATCCCATACAAGCCATGAAGTATATGGGACACTACTAAAAGAATATATAAGAGTCAGAACCTTTCAGACCCACAAACTGGCAAAGCAACTCTATAGTGGACTCCTGCTGCCCAGAGATATTTATACTTTAACTATCTTATGTTGTTACTGAGTTTAAAAATCTTCTACAGCTACCAGGAGGGGAAAATTCTTGGGGGTGTTAGAAAGTCAAGTAATATTCTCTTGTAAGACCACCTCCCTGACTAGTGCATTAACATTTTCATTGCTATTGCATCAAATCTTTAAATTAATTTGTGAGGTATTAACATTTTACTATAGTATTAGCTTGACCCGTGGATCTGTAGGAGATAGCCTTATAGTCGTTCACTTTTCCTTTATTTCCGTCAAAAATCATTTAAAATTGGTCTTTATAGGTCTTATGTGTACTGGTAGGGCAAAAACCCAGATAGTAGGGTCGTTCTTTTCCTATAAAAATATTTCAGTTTTTCTTGATTGTTGATAAGATTTATTTTTTTAAAAAAATACTAATGATATTTGTGGCCTCATCTTGTACTCCTTTCAAAAATTATTGAGTCGATTTTTCTAAACCTACAATCTTGTTCTTGCTATACAACTAATGCAATAAAGACTGTAACTCAAATACCCAGCCACTTGGCTATAATTAGTAATGCAGCCTCCCTAATAGCCTTAATAAGATAGAGCTTTTAGAGGTTAAAATTTAGCCACCTACTTTTCGATGGCTATTTTAAATCTCTGTGATAACATAAGTGAGCAACAGCATATTGACATGGCTTGTCACATTTAGTGCTAAGTGTTCATAGGAACATCCCACTTTTAATTAAGTTCAAATTGTTTTAAAATTGTTAACTCCCCCTCTCAAAACAAGAGATTGATTATTCTTCAAAGTTTGTACCCCACTGGGATCTAGACTCTCTGTACTGACTTATTCTAGGTTAAAGAGCAACAGGGCTTTTTCCATCCCAGCTTTTCTCTTTACTGACCTTCATTAACCTTGAGCAGACCACCTCACCTCATACCTTTTTTCCCTCATCTGTGAAAGGAAGGGATTTAGACTAGAGATACTTAGCTTCTTCATTGACCATGTCTTTTTCATGTCTCCTTGCTAGAACTAACATTCCTAAAATTATGCCAGACAGGAGTGGTGACAGTGAACTGCTGTACTACGCTGTCTGACCAGAAGTTTTGTAGCTCCGTTCCACAGAGCACTTAATAAAAACCAGCTCGTTGACTTATATTAAGGGAATATCATTCTGTTCAGAGTGAACTTTGCATTCTATCATCACCCTTTTCTGCATCTGTTGATGTGATCGTGTTTTTCGTGTTGATACGATCAGCACTGTGGATAGAGGTTCTGCCTTGAAGTAATGAAAACCAGGGGTTGGCCCTTTTGCAGCCACACTCCCTGCAGGTTCAGAGATGACTCGCCTCTCCACTCAGTGCTCCCTGCAACTCCCTTAGGTTAAGCTGTGGGATGACTTCTTCCAAAGTGAAAGGAGTGTCTGCTCTCAAGATTTCTTTACAACTTCCATTTTCATTTTTTAAAAAAATCCACTGAAGAGGGGCAGCTCGGTGGTGCAGTGGACAGAGCACCGGCCCTGGATTCAGGAGGACCTGAGTTCAGATCTGGCCTCGGATACTTGACACTCGCTAACTGTGTGACCCTGGGCAAGTCACTTGACCCCATTGCCTAGCCACAAAAAAAGAAAAAAAATCCACTGAAGAAATCACAGTCCAGACCACATTTTTTAAAAAGATTCTTATATTGTTTTGCCATTGTGGAAGTATACTTGAATTCCCATTAATTCCTTTTATCAAAATGAATAAATGTCTTTGTATTCTATATTTTGGTCAATACTTTATGTAATATTTTTGCATTGGTATTCATTAATGATATTGGCCTGTAGTTTTTTTTTTTTTAAATACTTATTGTGGATCAAAAACATATTTGGTAGAAAGAAGTGAGTTGTGTGCTATCTCTCTCTGTATCTACTAACAGTAGATGGTTTTGTAGGGATTATCTGCTTTGTCTGTTCAATACGGTTAACTTGCATCAGTCTAAAAGTTTATTTTAATCCTGTCTTTGCTAATTGGTAACTGTGACCCTATAAAATAAGCATTCTTAACCTGGGTATAAAGTTCTATCAACATAACTGTATTTCCAAATAATTGATTTCCTTTGTAATCCTATGTGTTTTATGCACTTAAAAATGTTATTTTAAGAAGGTCCAGAGGCTGCTCATTACTGACCCATATAATTTCTCCTCCTAAGATAGGACAATTCAAATTGTTTCCCGTTTCATCTGTTTGGTAATTTTATGTTCAATATTCAACCACTTCTTTTTGAGTTCTGAAATTATCACAAAAGCATAATAATTTTGGAAGATCTTACTGATTTGTTGCACTCATAAGGACGTTTTTGTCCTAATTTAGGTAGTCAGCTTTTTCTCTTTTGTTATT